AAGCCAAGTTAATGAGAAAAAGTTCAAAATGAGGTCATTTCTGCCTCACATTTTTCTCTGTCCTGTAACGACCTGATCTGGAATGAACTCTGTTACTTTTTTACTCCTGTTTTTATAGTCCTTTTTTATATGGTTTTACCGAGTTTGAGTTAAGAGTAGTAAATAACTTGCTCCCAGGAAAAGAACCGGTGAGGAGGCCCCCGGGGCGCTACAGCCTTTTCTTCCAAGGGGACAAATCCTTTTCATTTTAACAAGCGTGTCCTGGGTCGTCCCCTGGGCCTCCTCCCAGTGGGACGTGCCTTGAACACCTCCCGAGGGAGGCGTCCAGGGGGACATCCGCCATCTTTATAATTCTTTTACTATTTATTTGACTTTGCTCGTGGGCAAGACACTGTCTGGATGGAGTAATGATTGGTTAACATAACATAAGCTATATTAAATTAGGACTCCTGGTCTGCACCCTGGGATGTCAAGGTTTTGGACTGATAAATTTGGCCATATTCCTAGAAAGAAGAGCGTCATCATCCAAGGAGGGAGACAGTGGGTTGGATGCACTCTCTCCGAATCAGACCAGGTTTTCCCCAAAAAGATTGCCTTATATCTATGTTGCCCACCTTGTCTTCTCGACACCACCTAGATGAGACGGGATTAAATGATTACATGCGGCTAAACATGTCATCAGTGGTCAGATCAGGGAGGGGACGAGAAAAAATTACAGAATCGAACATTTGTTTGAAAAACTTACACAGGGAAGCAACACTAATTTTAGTGACCTCCCTCGCCCCTTCTGGCCCCTGGCAAACATTTGGCTATGGTCCCTGGTGTCTCTAATGCCACGTTTCGGACTATGGAGCTGCCAATTACCAGGGTGTCCTTCTCAGTGGGTGCGTCACTGAGAGGTGTGGTACACCCTGAACAGGTTGCCAGTTTGTTGCAGGGAATACAGAAGCACAGACTTACCACCATGCGCGCACATAATCCCACCTAATAAATACCAATTAACCTAACATCCTTGTCTTTGGACTGTGGGAGGAAGCCGGAATACCCAGAAAGAACCCACGCATGCATGGTGGGTACATGCAAACTCCATGCAGAAAGACCCTGGGGTGAGAATCGAACCTAGAACCTTCAACCTGCTAAAAACTACGGCCATGCAGCTGTATGAAAAATTTAGAAAATAATTTGATCATGTGAACACTCCTTGCATGTAGTTTACAAATTAAATAACTAATTGAGCAGCAACATTTAATGCTGCCAAGAGAAATCTCAATAAAATAGTTTTATCAGAATCATGAGATGTGTTAGTTTAAAGGATTTTCATCTGAATTTATAAAATTACATTATAAAAATAATGATATAATAAAAAAAAAGATAGAATCACTTCAATATTGATTAAAATATTATTTTACAATAACAAATGATAAATATAGTTACCAATTTTAATTGGTGTAATAGAGATTCCATTAAATTTTAAACAGATTTGGATCATTTGCTGTAAACACATGGATACAATAGAGCTGCTGAACTGTGTTTAATTTTTTATATAATGCTGAAAATTTTTTTCTTGTATTTATCTTTTTACTTCACACATTTTCCAGCTGCTAATTGTGATGATTGCCCTCCTGGATGGAGTTGGTACGAAAATCGCTGTTTCCATTTTGTGAAGGATGAAAAGAGCTGGGCTGACGCTGAGGTACAGCAGCTGAAATGGTTGTAAAGAGTTACAAATACTGAGTTAAGTTCAGTATTAAGAAAGGGAAAATGTATAGCGTAAGCAGAGTTTGACTTTAAGACTTACATGAAACTTCAAATTCAGCAGCACCTATTGTCTTACTGCGCAGAGTAAGATTTAATCGGCTGTAGTTCTGCCTTTTTTTCCTAGAGTCACTGTCTCTCGCTGGGTGGACATCTGGCCTCTTTCCACAGCAAAAACGAGTACAAGTTCCTCATAGATCTCATCTACACCGCAGGACGGCACAAGAACTGTTGGTTTGGAGCTCATGATGCAGTGAAGGTAAGAATAAAAAACTAAAACCATCTTTGTTGTGCTGCAAAGATTGATTAGAAATAACAGCAAAACTAGTCAAGAAAAGAAAAGCTATTCCTGTTTTTAAATAAGCTGATGAAATACACAGACATCAAATTAAAAGAAGGATTCTTCAATTCTTGACAAATATCATTTAAATAAATTCAATTCAATTCAATTCAA